GGATCAATAAAATGTGCAAGTCAGCAAAACGATGAACCGTATGCAAAACGAGCGAACTAGAGGAGTCACAAATCGCTAAAATATCAAAAAGATGAACGAAACACCACTCGGAGGCTTGCGTAAGCGCGAGTCATCAAATAGTGGCTCGCACCTATGCGAGCAACCAAATGGTGGCTCGCACCCATGCGAGCCACCAAATGGTGACTCGCACAGTCCCGAGCCACCACGACTCTTTTTGACTCCCAAACCTCCCAAAACGCGGATTTTAATGATTTTTAAGGATTCTTTCATCCCAGGACCTCCCCAACTATTTTGAGGTTATCCCTAAATACGTTTAGGCAGCTGTTAACTACAGATAACGTTTAAACACGAATTTTTATTCAAAAGGACGTCTCCAAAGGCCTATAAATAGAAGCCTAGGGTCTTCTTTAAAGAGGATCTGAAGTTGAGAAGGCGAGGTGCTGTCAAATTGTCCAGCTAACCACAAATTTCAGAGGAGAATCATCAGATCTTGGCGAACACTTTCATAAAGAAAGTCCTTCGAAAAGTTTGTGATTCTTTCCCCTTCTTTCCTCCGGATTAAACCGTGTTTTAATCTCGAGAAGAGCCACAATCTCGCTTGGTCGTGATTGTCACTTCCGTAATTGTTTCCTTTGTGATACAAGAGCGTAATTATATTGTCTATCGGGTTTGATCTGCGGTGATCCACGGACTAACGCATCCCCAGCACAGGCAAAGATCCCATGCAAAGCAGCGGGAGATAAACTACTGATGTGTTTTGTTTGATAAAGTTGTAATCTTTATTTTTCATTATAAGAGGATCTTATAAAAAGATCAACTTTTCTTTCAGTTTGAACTTGTAATCGATAAACAGTGTAACAGGTTTGAAAGCAATGGAAAAGGTAACTTTTGACAGAAACAGCTGTGGGAAACCCTTTGCTTCCACATTGGTCGTTAGAACTTCTAGAAGTTTGTCCACATCATGTTTAATATTCACAAGATCCTCTTCCTCCTGTGCTTCCAACCCCTCTACAACTTTGCCTAGAACCTGACTATTATCTGCACCTTTGTTATCTACAATAACATTTTCATGTTCAACATGATCCACTTCCCTATCCACATGTTCCTCCTCCATATATACATTATCCTCAGCCTTACTATCTACATTCGCGTCAACCATACTATCTACATTCTCCCCTTCTCTATCAACATGCTCCTCCAAGTTATCTGGATTCTCCTCCTCCTTATCTATGATATCCTCCTCCTTATCGACACCATCAGCAGGATGCTCATCAAAACCTTTGTTATCTATAATAAAATTTTCATGTTCAATATGCTCCTCTTTCTTATCTACATGTTCAACCTCGAGATCTACACTATCCTCAACCTTACTATCTACATTTAGGTCAGCCTTACTATCTACATTCTCCCCTTCTGCAATAACATGCTCCTCTTCTATAACCTTGTCGTTAACAGGATGCTTCATATCCTCTTCAACAATCTTATATACATGTTCTTGCATGGTGGGGTCTTCCTTATATACACTGCTTGTTTTGGACTTCTGTTCCTCTTGAGCTACCTGTCGCTTCTTCCTCATTTCATTTGAAATTTTATGTTTAATATTCACCTTCAGCACCACCGGGTCTATAACCTCATCATGTCTTCCAAATTTTTCAATTATCATGTTTAGCCTGTTTAGCTTGTTTATCTCCATCATGAATTCTTTATAATATGTACTCGCTTTGTAGCAACTAGTAGTCGTTTGAGAAATTTAGCAGAATTTCTCCAAAATGTAAGTTGTTGCTCAATGGGAAGAACATTGATCTCCTCTTCATCGTCGAAAGCAACGTCAATATGCTTTGCCATTATCTGTTATTAATAAGAGATTATAATTTAAAGTAGGATTGCACACAATTAGGATATTGTTTGTAGTTGGTGTGAAATGAGTACGACTTAACATAACAGGATACTTACGTAGCCTATTGAGAAGTTCTTAGTAGTTTCCTCCTGGATAGCCTTCCTCTTTGACTGACGCTTATGATGCACAACTTCACCCCTTTGTACAGCGGGAAGTGCATGAACATGACCTGGAGAAGAGACCTCCACAATAGGGCTATGGACAAAAGTTATTGACGCTGACTTAGCCTTTTTCGTAATTGTCTCCACCCTCATAGATGGGACTTTCGCATCCTCTGGTACCCAATTTGTCATTGGAGGTCTGGAGCAGTCTACGAGGACATATTTCTTTATGCCGGTCATCTCATAGTACCAAAGCTGTAGCAAATATATTTAGCATTTAGAATAATACTAGACTACACTAAAGAGAGTAAACTATGGGTGCAACTAGAACTAACATGGTAGAAATATGTTAGAACAAACATAAACTATGTTAGAACCATCATGAGCCCAGGTAGAACTAACATGTCCTATGTTAGGACTAACATGGGTGCAGCTAGAACTAACATGGTATATCTTAAAACTAACAAGGCATAAATTATAACTCACACGACACAAATTAGAACTAACAAAATTTGCGATAGAACTAACATGGTGTAGATTAGAGCTAACATGGCATAATTAGAACTCACACGACACAAATTAGCGATAGAACTAACATGGTGTAGATTAGAGCTAACATGGCATAATTAGAACTCACACGACACAAATTAGAACTAGAATGAACCAAGGATTAGAGCTAACATGGCATAATTAGAACTCACACGACACAAATTAGAACTAGAATGAACCAAGATAAGTCAAATATGGAACTTACACACAATAGTGTCATGTAACCTGGGACATATGTGACCCCTCACTTCTCCTTTCCTCCCAAAGCAACTCCAATGTCTCTGATAATTTCATCATAAAAAACTGGGTCTATGCAACAGAATTGACCCTCTCAATGTTGTCCAGGTACTTGAGTAAGGATCTAGGGATACCTTCCCCGCCTCTGGGGCTCCATATCATAGAGCATTGGTACAGGATTTGTAGCAGAACAAAATCCTGGATATCCCTCTTTTCTGTAGATTCCACTAGCCTTTCCAGATGCCCTTCGAGGTGTTTACGTTGGGTGGTTTCTGCTTTTTTTAACTTCTTAACCTCTTCAGAAATAAAAAGATTAACGAAGTATTCCATCCATATTCTGCTTCTTGAGTCCTGATTGATACTTATGACTTCACCATAAATTGGGAAATAAGTATGGTTATGGACCCATTGCAAATCAAATTTAACATTTTCCACACACCCACTTTTTGAATCAAGTATAAAAAATGTGTCATTATCTCTGTCAAAATAGCTCAGCAGCAGTTCAAGTGTGGGCCGATCAGGCGCAGGAGCCCTAAATAAAGTATAGTGCTCAAATATAGAACCACTGTATGCATCCCTATGCCACAGACGAATCTTCGGGGTAATTCGCTTCATGAATTCCCTATAGGCCCCGATATTAGCGGTTAACCTTAGTGATACGGCCGCACTTGTAAGAGTAACTTTTTCCTGCAAAAATATTTCGAATTTGTAAGTTCAATAAGACCTATGAACTCATAATAGACCTAACACTAACGGGAATATAATAGAACTAACGCGTACTGTTATAGAACTAACATTGGACTCAATCCATATTCTGCTTCTTGAGTCCTGATTGATACTTATGACTTCACCATAAATTGGGAAATAAGTATGGTTATGGACCCATTGCAAATCAAATTTAACATTTTCCACACACCCACTTTTTGAATCAAGTATAAAAAATGTGTCATTATCTCTGTCAAAATAGCTCAGCAGCAGTTCAAGTGTGGGCCGATCAGGCGCAGGAGCCCTAAATAAAGTATAGTGCTCAAATATAGAACCACTGTATGCATCCCTATGCCACAGACGAATCTTCGGGGTAATTCGCTTCATGAATTCCCAATAGGCCCCGATATTGACGGTTAACCTTAGTGATACGGCCGCACCTGTAAGAGTAACTTTTTCCCTGCAAAAATATTTCGAATTTGTAAGTTCAATAAGACCTATGAACTCATAATAGACCTAACACTAACGGGAATATAATAGAACTAACGCGTACTGTTATAGAACTAACATTGGACTCAATCTAGAACTAACATTAGACTCAAACTAGAAATAACATTGGACTCAAACTAGAACTCATGTGGACTCAGACTAGAACTAACAATACTGTGGGAAAACCTAGCATTGTTTAAGATGAGCTGAAATTAGGGAAAATTAGGTCGAGTTCACAAATATTGGATAACATAGCACTTACTGTTTTTTTGGGGGGGTTCGTTGGTACGACGAGCTAATGCTGTTCTTCTTTTTCGGGCTCACCATTTTATTGCCTGCTTCTGCATTTCCATAAGGGTTAGAGTAGCTTCCTCCGCACTGCCAACCACAGATGAACCGTCTTTGCCCACCGACTCGTCTCGTTGAACGACCTCGTAGTCGTTAACGGATCCTTCAATGGACGATATTTTTCTGGTGAAAACCCTAGAACTACTGAAATCCAAACAGAAATTAGAAAGATGAAGAGTTTTTGAGGATCCTAAGCGGTGGAAGAGAGAGAAAGAAAGGAAGGGTACTTGAATAGGGCTGCGGCGTATTAACCGAGTTCAGTCCCATCAGAGGGGCACGATCATAACTTCCGTTGGGCCTTAATAGAAAAAGGTCTTTTCGGAGCCTCATCGCAAATACTGTGCGTATTTGGGGCTTATCCGCGTGGGGAAAAATACAAGGGGCCTCATCACATAAAGTTTCTGCTTTTGGCGTCTGGACACATTTTTCCCAAAAAAGAAAGAGGTTTTTATTTTTAGGCTCAATTGTTTACTCTAGTTTATCTATAAACCCAATAACTTTTGCTTGTATCTTTAAACCCAATCAGCTTTTTCTATTTGTCTTTAAACCCAACTTCCAAAATACAATAGGCAGAGCATCTTGTATTTATACATAAACATGGTAAAAACCCAAAATACCCCTTTCAACACCCCCACTTGAACTAGTACTTCTCTCTCCTCTTCTTTCCCATTCTCATGTCTCAGCCTAAATCGAAAAACCCCAAATTTAAAAAGAAATCCCTCATCTTCTTCTCCGTCTTGTCTCTGCGCCCTAACTGAGAAAAAAATCCCTCCTCTTCTTCCCCGTTCTCATCTCTCATCAATCCCTCTTCTCTGCCTTTGTCTCTGTCTCGTCTTTGAGCCCTAACCGAGGGAAAATCCCCATTGTGACCAAAATTTGCCCCCAATTAGACCCCTAACCCATAATCTTCCTTCTTTCCCTCAATTGATCCAATGCGTGACTGTCGCTACCTCCTCTGTCTAGTAGTTCGAGTGACTGGCATCAGTAACTTCTCTAATAGTTCTTCACCTTACAGCTACTGTCGCCTCCTCCTATGGTTCGCCTACCTGCCGTCACCTCCTCCAACGCCTCTCCTAACCACCGACCGCCGCCTTCTCTAGTGTCTTTCCTATCAGTAGAGGTAATAAATATCTTAATTTTCTTCGTTTCAGCATTCTATTGTAAATTAAAATGCTTTATAGCACGAATATATCAACTTGAAATTGAACTTTTTAGTTGTCGGTAATAGATAGCATATTTTAGAATTCTGGAATTGAACTTTTTAGTTGCTGGTAATAGTTGGTGGCTTTATTTTGGTAATAGATGGCATATTTATTGGTTTGGTTGCTGGTCTTGGCTTGAAATTGAACTTTTTAGAATTTTGGGAATTTTTAGCCAGAATTTTTCAGCCAAAATTTGGTTGCTGGTCTTGGTCACTGGTCTTGGCTATAATTTCTCTCAAGTTCAGGTGGAACTTTTCATCCTGTTGGCTGTAAAATAATACGATTAGTCCGACAACTACATCTTCACCTAAGTTCAAGCGCTAGCAGTATAGCAAGTGAATTTTCTACAAGGACCAGTTATTCGTCGGCAAGATTTTGTAGATTGTTTTACAAAGAAGCTATTAGTGCCTGAATTGGTCTTGATGTTAGTTAGCTCAATTATATGGTGATACCAATTGGCACAATTGTAAATAATAATGACAACTGTAATATATTTAACTCATTTAGACAATTGATTAATTAATTGTCATGTATAAGATTATTTTGTTTGTTGTATAATCTTCAAAAAGGTTCATCTATGTTAGTTGTTATGTTCTTATATTATTGCACGTGCATGTATTTGATGTTAATGGTAGCTCATTTAGTAAAAAAAAGTATAACATTGATATAATATTAAAGTTGTCTTATATTTTATTTTGTTTACAGTAAACCTATGGCTATGGAAGTAGTTAGAATTCCATCCAATGTGGTCTACTTTCGGGAGATAATTCAAAATCGTATTTCATCTACATTGTAGGAGGATCATTGGACGGCCTTCGAGATACGCCATTTTATGGATATCTTGATGTTCCTAATGTTCCAATGCAGCCACTTCTAGTCGATTGTTTGTTAGAAGTATTTGATGTTGAAAAAAGTAATTTCGAAATTAGAGGAAAATGGACCTACTTTGGTGTTAAAGATATTGAGAGGATTACGGGTCTTCCGATGGGAGGATCTATAATAGATACGAGGTTCTATAGAAGTGATCGTGAGACAATCTACAAACTCGTGCTTTCATTTAGGACAAAGGCATAAATTGAGGAGAATAGGAAGCGTAGGACTAGAAGAGGAAAGAAAAAAAATTAATGAGGAAAAGAAGAAGGTTGTGTGTGTGTGCTAGATGAGATAGGATGGGTGAACTTATCGAGGAGATGACCGAGCGAAGAGATCCTATTTTGCCACAGATGCTTGTGGCTTTCATTATAGACTTTATATTATGCCCTCAAAGTAATTGGGGTTGTCATTTGTTTGCATTTAGATATGCTAAGAAATTGGATACTCTTAAGGAGTATAATTGGGTAGAAGTAGTATATAATGTGTTATGGGCTAAGATAAATAAGTCTAAGAAGACCATCACGAATACGTCCAAGGGAAATTGATCTAGAGGTGGTTATATGGGCTGTTTTGCCTCGGTTTTGGTAGTAAGTTAACATTTTATATATTTATGTTATTTTCCATTTTATATATTTATGTCATTTAGTCATATTTATTGTTGCGCTAAAAGTTTCATATTTTGACAGATTTTGTTTTATGAGCTTGTGAGGAAGTTAAGCCTTTGCGAATGAGCTGAATCCCTAAAATCCATCCTAAGCTTCTACAAGTGTCCAAAAACTTTATGGAGGAATGAAGTGCAAGATTTAGTTAGAGACTCGGCTAGTTTTAGGAAGTTTGATAATAACTCGAGGGATCTAAAATTTCAAGAGAGGATTACTGAAGCTGCCACTACAGAAGCTGCCGCTACAAAATTCAATGGAAAGGTATAATGGTTAGTTTAAATAAGTTCTTTGGGAACTAGTGTTACTTTTCCAAACTCCACTTATTAAGTAGACTAGGAAAATTAGTGTTACTTTTCCAATTATTATTCAGGATCAATTAGTTTTTTAATGTGTTTTTTACTAAAATGGAACTTATTGTTGGATGTTTGTGTTTTCTCTATGTTTTTGTTTAGTTGATTCAAGTCATGAGAACTAGTGTAACTTTTCCAAACTCCACTTATTAAGTAGACTAGGCAAATTAACCTAAATAGGAACATATCTTTGAATTGGTTGATATATACTTTTCCAAACTCCACTTATTAAGTAGACTAGTGCATGTTTCTTCATGGTGTTAGGCTCATTAACATGCTTTAGGTTTCTCAGAGTTTGAATATTATTCACAAAAGTTTCAAAAAACAAAATGTACAAAAACTACAATATGAAAGTATAGCATGATAATCTGAAAGTATAGCAGGATAATTTGAAAGTGTAACATGATAATATAAAAGTGTAGAGTGATAATCTGAAAGTATAGCGGGACAATCTAAAAGTATAGCATGATAATCTGAAGCGTATAATCGAGCGTCTCTGCATATTTTTATTCCATGTTAGTTAATAGCTCAATTACTTATACATTATAAACTTGTTTGACATGGGTAGCTTTTAGAAAATGATTTATATTTGATGTTCATCCATGAATTTAACAAGACTTAAGCTTATTTACATGTAGATAATCACTAAAGCTGATTTAGATAGGCTCATACATGATAAAAAAGTGGAATTAGACCTTCTCTTGAAGATGAAGAGGGAAATATTTGGTGGAAAGCAAGAGGATGTTGATAGTGATGGCGGAGATGAGGATGACGAGAATGAGGAGGATGATAGAGATGTAGGCAGAGGTGAAAATGATGGTGGAGCTAGAGATGAGGGGGATGGTTGAGATGTAGATGAGGATGTTGGTGGAGATGCGAAGATTGATGGTGATGGAAATGAGAGAAATGACAAAGAGGGAGATGTTGATATAATGAATGTAGATCAAGATGATGGTAGAGATGGTGCTATTGACAAAATGGACACAATTTCAATAGAAGTGGATGATGACGTCTTTGTTCTTAACCCTCGCAATACTACGGTGATTGAAGGGAATCGTAAAACCCATTCCATCAAAAGAACGGTTTTGTCGAGATCTCGGCTTGCTGGACCATCTATGCGTTCACCCTTTGTCCCGCTCACCAATCGAAAAGGAGTACCAATTTATCTGGGAAGGAGGGAAGTAAGGGATAATGAGAGAGCTACTCAATAACTTTTGGAAGGACAAGAATATGACCATATAAGGAATTTTGAATGACCCATTTTATGACTCGTTTAGTATTTTCATTAACATATTTACTAAGTTTTTCATATGTGGGGAGGCATTAGTGTAGACGTCTAATGATGCTTTGTTAACCTGTAAGGATGCATTAGAATTACTTAAAGGAGATGCAATTAGTTGCGATAGACGTACCCGTTTTTTTTCATGCTTCACATAATACACATCTGTAGTATATAACCCTAATGTTTTCAATTTAATTATGTACATTTTAGGTCATAGAATCATATGTTTTGCTTCTAAATTTGTTGTTGGATGAGAAGCCAAAATATGCAAAGGACATGCACATCTGTAGTCCATGGGTAATCGTAAGTACAAATCTGAATAGGGATTATAAGTAGCATTTATATGTTATCTTAAATACTAAAAATTATCTTTTCTTTGTTTTTTTTGTAGAGACGCATTAATAAAAATAATATGTCAAATGTTGAATGCATGTTTAAGTCAATAACGACTATACATTTCCATGAACTTGATAAGATTATTTTCCCACTTTTAACTTTATTTCATTGGCACATGTTGGTATTATCTGTGAAGGATGAAAGGTTTTATCATTACTCCTCTCTCGGTAGATACATGTTCGATGCTATTGATTTTAGAGTGAAGCTTATGTCCTCCATTCCTGATGATTGGAATTTAGATATTAGATCTTGTCATGAGATAGAAAGTGTTGATGTACCTTGATAACTTGGGTTAGTGTATTCAACTTATTTGTATGTTGTAATTTTTTCATATGTGCTAACACATAGAAATTATATCTTGCAGGTCAAAACTTTTATATTTGTACTTGTAATATTTGTACTTGCAGTAGCCTAGATTGTGGGGTGTTCTTGATGTTATACATGTTCAGCCTCATCTCCGATCAACTGATTTCAATAGACCAAAAGAATTGTGCGAGACGTAGAGCTCGTATCGTAGTCCTATTTCTATCTGAAGGGAGAGCATCTGATTAGAACATTCCTGGTTAGTTGATTTAAATTTAAAGTTTATTTTCCTATTAAACTCTTAGAGATATGAAATGCTGGTGACTTTTACATTCTGTCTACTATTCTTTTGATACGCGCATCTTTTGATTTCAGGATATAAATATTCACCTCAAGCTAAGTCCTCTGATGCCAGATGCCATCAATCTCAGCTTTTGTTCTTATGTAGTTTTGTGAGTGCAACCAAGCCTGCTCTTATATGAAAATTTCTCTTTGATTGATGGATTATTTGTTTGTAAACTTCATCTTTCTACTAGTGTACTTTGTATCTCTTAGGCAGCCAAGCCTGCTCTTAAATGCAAATTTCTCTTTGATTGATGGATTATTTGTTTGTAAACTTTATCTTCTCCTAATGTATGTTTGTAAAAAAAAACTGATTTGGTTTGGTTGGTTTTGAGTGTAGAAGATAGATTTTTCATTGTAACATATTGCTCTCATTTTCATGTGTGTGTGTGTGTGCGCGTGTGCATGTGTGTGTGTATTTTTAGAGTTTGATTTGGAACTTAACATTTGAATTTAGGTGATCATTGAGTCTATTTGACCTGCGTGTACTAGTTCAACTCTAGTTTGTATCCTTTACAGATTATTAAAAAATTTATCAACGAGTTTGTAAGATTATGAAAAGAGATAATATGAAAGTATAGTATGATAATCTACAAGTATGGTGCGATAATATGTAAGTATAGCGCAAATAATCTAAAAGTATAACGGGATAATCTAAAAATATAGCATGATAATATATAAGTATAGCGGGATAATCTGAAAGTGTAGGGGGATAATCTGATAGTATAGCGTGATAATCTAATAGCTTGTTTGGATTGAGGGGAATGAGGGTGAAGGGAAGTTAGGGGAACCATTCACCTCCATTCACCTTGTTTGGGAACACTTAGGAGGTGAAGTTAATTCACCCTAGTTCCCCTTGGTTCACCCCCTAATAGTATAAAAATTGTTACCCCCCAAATTGGGGTGTAACCAAGGGGAAGGGAATTCCCTTCCCTTCCCTTCCCTTCCCTTCACTCAGTTTTCCTTAACTTCCCTTCACCCCCTACAAATCCAAACAGGCCCTAAAAGTATAGCATGATAATATGTAAGTATAGTGGGATAATCTAAAAGTATAGTGTGATAATCTGAAAGTATAGTGCGATAATATGTAAGTATAGCAGGATAATCTAAAAGCATATCATGATGTTATGTAAGTATAGCGGGATAATTTGGAAGTTGGCGCGATAATATGATTGTATAGCGTGATAATATGAAAATAGATAATCTGAAAATATAGCGGGATGATCTGAAAGTATAGCGGGATAATCTGAAAGTATAGCGAAATAATCTGAAAGTATAGTGGAATAGTCTGAAAGTATAGGAGGATAATTTTAAAGCATAGCGGGATAATATGAAAGTATAGCGTGATAATATGTAAATATAGTGGGATAATCTGCAAGTATAGTTACAAGTATATCGGGATAATCTGAAAGTATAACACCATAATTTGAAAGTATAGCGGGATAATTGGCAAGTATAGCCTGATAATATGTAAGTGTAACGTGATAATATGTAAGTATAGTGTGATAATATGAAAGTATAGCGTATAGCGCGATAGTCTGAAAGTATAACGTGATATCCTGAAAGTATAGGGAGATAATCTGAAAGTACAGCGGGATAATCTGAAAGTATAGCGGGATATCTTAAAAGTATAGGGGGATAATCTGAAAGTATAACGGGAGTAGTGGGAATTTTAAAGTATAGCGTGTATGCAGGTGTACACGTCATACCAAACACATAACTAAACAATCATACAAAACACATAACAAACACATATCTTACATTAATCCAAAAGTATGACAAAACATGTCTTATATTAATCCAAAAACATGGCACTTACACAAAACTATAACACAAAACTCATGCATGTTTGCAATATTTTGCTTAGAATATAAAGGCGATCTAATCTACAACAGGTTGTCTACATGTTCTATGGTTGTGGCTGTACTGTTGACATCTACTATACTTCAAGTATTTATAAGGATTCATTCTTGAAGGAATGTGTTTTGTTCTTGGTCTTCCATGAAGAATTGTTGTTGTTGGCGGCTGAAATCACCATATTTTCACCATTTACATATGGCTTGTCATCGTTAGAAATTGAGTATATAGAAAATGAGTAGCATTTGTGGTATGTCTCCATACTAAAATAGTGAAAAATATAGGAGTAAAGAATGTTGTTATTTTGTCGAATTACTATAGTCGCATGTTTGCAAGGTAGTTAAACTACTTTCCATTCATGACAAGTATATGTGATCATTCAAATTTACTTCCACGGTGGGGAAATCATACACCTCAGAACTTCCTGTAGTAGAAGGAGTAGTAGAAGATAACGTGATTGCTCATTCATATGAATGAAGTGCTCTTCCACACTAGGAACAAATGTTGTGTTCCAATTGTGGGACACCTCCCGCCTTTCAAAACTCATTTTCATCATTTTCTTATAAATATTATTAATTATTTCGGTAATTGGCAAATAACAAGCTTCTTTGATCCAAGAATTGAATGACTCCGCTAGGTTTGATGTCAACCATCTATATCTACACACTTATCAATAAATAATAAGTATAGAGGTACATATATCTATATGATTTGTATATAAAATTTTATATGATTTGTATATAAAATTTGCATAAATTAAAATATTAACTTTTTCCCATGAAAGTAGCAATTAGCCCAATTTTTTGGACTCATCCTCAATATTTCATTATAGGCAATCACTGATTTGTATAATAGCTTGTTGCATTCATTGTTATAGTAACGAGAAGTGTATGCATAAGTAGTCCTCTTCATAGTTTGCACACATTCATCTCATAAATGTTATGTAATACCTTTCTTTGACAAGTTATTTTTAAAATTAGACAAAAGATGACAAATGCAATAATAGTGATGTGACCATTGAAAGCATTTCTTCACGGAAATCTAAAGTCCTTTGTCCCTATTAGAGATTAAAACCAGCTCACCATCTAGAGTATATAGATCTTCATCATTGAAGAGAATGTCTCGAATACATTCTAAAAATCATTCCCAATTACTCTCATTCTCCGTCCCGCATATGCAAATTGCTAGGGGAAACATTCCCGTCTCCATTTAGAGCAGTTACAGCAAGTAAGGTTCCTTTATATCTATAAAAAAAAGAGTAATTATGAAACAAAGTATAATATGTTATTATGAAGAATAATACATTAATGTAAGTTTTGATTAGATTGACCTCTACCATACCTATCAAAAAGATGTGTACCATCCAAGAATAATATTGGCCTACATTCCTCCATAAACCCCTTCCAACAAGCATAATAAGACACAAATACTCTTGTAAATCTTCCATCTTCAAGCTCTAAGTGAACAATTGATCCTAGATTAGTTTCCATAACTTTATCCTTATACCGTCGAAGTTGGTCATATTAATATTTAGTATCACTATACAATTCATATTGAGCTAGCTCTTTCCCCACCAAATTCTATGATGAGGGATATTTAAACCAAATTTTATTTTAAGCTTCTTCTGGAAATCAATTGGGTGATAAGTGGGTTGTTCCTTCAAGATGGATTTGAGATGATTAGCATTCCACTTACGAGATGCCCGTCTATATCCTTTCTTTCCTATGTCTCCTCCCAAACAACTATGAGAACAACAAAAAATTATATATAATTAATCACTATCTCTACGACAGGTGCAATGAACCATTCATTCACAGTTTGCAACCTTGCATTTTACTATCACTCTTTTGCATTCATGTTTTTACAAAAATAAAGTTAAAACCTTGTGCAATAGAGTAATTACTTAAACTCCACCGACAATGCTCAAGATCATTAAATTCTTAAACAACACTTCTCATTATATTGTGCCATGCAAGAGGAATCATACTAGAGCTCCCGACTTCTCGAGACATACTTTGTGAAGATGAAGGATTTTGTGAATAAGAAGCATGTTCTTCACTAGAGGGGATGTACGGATTTCTAAATAGAAAATTGTATAAGAGTTAAAGAAAGTTAGAACTTTAGAATTGACAGTAAAAACATGAAAGTATATCAAAAGTGTAAATTACCTTATATGGACGGTATTAGATTGTTGCTCAAATTAATAATACATCTCGATTCATCTTAACATTCGTAATAATTACATTCTCCTAGCAACTTCAATGTATATTGAATATTATTAAGACATCATCATCATCACATACATGCGCATAAATTTCTTGTGTGTGTGGGAATTTGTAAGTCAAGTGCATCATGTTTGCACTACGACCAATTAGACTTTGCACCGCAACCGCCAAATCATTGGAACTCCCATTGACATTTAATTTCAAAAAGTGATTATTTTCTCTAAAATCCGTCAATGCACAATACAATTCTTCATGCATCTATGTTTGTCACCAAAAATAAACAAATTTATGAAAAAATTCATCAAAGATAGACAACTAAAATCAAATTTAACTAACAATAAAATGAGTGGTTGAGAAATAATTTTCATGAATTAAATGAGAAATTAAAGTGAAATAATAATGTGAAATAATTAATGTGAAATTATGTGAAATTAATGAGTGGCTGACTAAGACCAAATTTAACTAAAATTTCATCAAATATAACAAATTTAACTAATTTTTATGAATTCATGAATAATAATGTGAAATAATTGTCATGTATAAAATGAGAAATTAATGCTATAAACTTAGTAGTTGAGTAAAATACAAAATTATATCTTCAATTACTAAGAAAGTGAAGAATATCCACCAAAATCAAGCAACCACATCCTATGCATTAATAAAGTTGAGAATTAATTGATGGATTCATAAGAGTGGTTGAGAATTAATTGATAGCTTTATAAGAGTGGAAGAATGTAGTAAAGAGAATAATGGATGAGAGAGGGGAATCAACTAAGATATGGAGAGAGGGGGAGAGAGAGAGAGAGAGAGAGAGAGAGAGAGGGAGAGAGAGGAACAGGGGTTCCCGCTGCTGTTCTCCTCTCCTGCACCTAACCGCATTTAATGCAGTGTGAAGGCGCAGGGAGAAAAACGGAGGATCAGCCTCCATTTCTCTCTCTCTCTCTCTCATAAATTTTCATTTTATTAAGTTTTAAATTTTTGAAAGGGGCTCACTTAAGCAAGAACACATGAGATATCAGGGAAGGGTATAATTGGATTTTAAAGAAAAATTAAGAGGGGCCCACATATGCAAGTATTGTATTTTGAAAGTTGAGTTTGAAGGTAAATACAAAAAGCTGATTGGGTTTAAAGGTACAAGCAAAAGTTATTAGGTTTATAGATAAACTAGGATAA